CCCCCAAGGTTGCTACGGCTTCAGAAGTAATAAACCGAAAAACACTTACCGATTTACGATTTGTTAAATGTTATCCATGTAAATGCCATGATTTCGTAAATCAGTTTATACTGACAATACAATTATATCATATTTTCTCTGTTTAACAACTAAAATTTTGTTATTAATAATACTATTATTGCCGTAATTTTCCGAATGGCCAACCTGGTTTCCCGAATATGTTAATTCTAAAAAAGTTGGGGGGGGGGCTTAACCACATCCCCTCAATACCCCCATCGCTACGGCCCTGGGGCCCATTAATTTTCCTTGCCCTTAGTCCCCCAGGATAGTATGCGATCGCCGAAGGTGTGAGCCGAGTACCGCAGGCAAAAGTTAGCTACGGGGGTCTGGGGGCATGCCCTCCCAGGAAATTTTTAAAATGTGGGTCTCTGAAATAGCATTTCCTGCATTCTGAGAACACGTATTCCTCATTTCATAAGGCAGTCGTTGTATTTGACTTCGATGATCGATTTGACAACCACAACATTTTTCTTCGTAAAGTCTTTGAACTTGTTAAATGATTCATTGTTTTATCTAGACAATCCAATTGTTGGTAAAAGTTCAGGAGGTCTTGGAGGTGGTGCAATTGCTGGCATTGTGATTGCAATCATTGTGATTGTCATTGTATTAATCGTTGTCGTGGTGTGGATGAAGAAAAGAAGCGGACGTAGTAGCAAGGTATGTCCAAAGCTTTATTTTTGGAGCTTTCTATTGCATTGATGTGAAATAATCCTCTTAGACCTTTGTTCTCTCTTTCATATAAATCGAATCAGACGGAAATTGAAAATGCATTTCAATTTCGAGCAATGGTATATCCATGCAACTGGGCACATTTTCGTCATAACTGTTTTTATATCAACGAATTAACCTTATTGATTTTACCGTTTAGAAAACACCAACTGTTAATGACGACGAAGGTAAATCGCCGATGGTTTCAAATCCACCGGAAAAAGACCAAGGTAAGTATTACTCTGTGACAATGACACTATTAACCATTAGTGAAATATACCAAGGCATGTATCATCTGATTATATCAGTATTTGGACAATTGAGATAGTGTTTACTTGACGGGATGAATTTGTAGTCTGCATGTGCATTATATGTGTTTATAGGTGATCTGTGTACACAGTTACACTACTATATTTCACAGCTTTTCAACAAGATGTTTTGACAAGTCTGGAACAAGTTGTTACAGTAAAGCCCCGCATAAACGAACCAATGAATTTTGACTTCAGGCTGAAGTGATTTTATATAATCTTACTTCACACTATACTTTTTTCTATTCTACACATTAATAGAGACTGTTGTTGCATACAGCAAAACTATTGCTATCACACTAATATGGTTCTCGTTACATATATCTAAACTTAAAAAACTTTTAAAAACTTGTATTTTGGGCGCTTAATTGCCCAAATTTTAGGCTGGTGGTTCTAAACCTACTGGCTCTTTTATGTGGGGCGTTACTGCATCGTCTTGTAACAAGTTGTTCCAATAGACTCGCAACAAGTTGGTTCCAACAATTCTGGTATCGTCTGCATGCACGTGACAAGTTGACAGGTAGCTACAGGTTCTTGTTGGAAACAACCTGTATCAGTCTTGTTGGAACAACTTGTAGCAAGTCTGTTACCGTCATTAACCCTGTAACACGATGCTAACAACTTGTTCCAGATTTGTTACAACAACTGAGAACAAGCAGTGCCAACACATCCTGGTATCGGCTGGACAACAACCTTGTTAAAACATCTGTGACAAGTTGCGTTGTTTTTAGGTGTATACGTTGTTCGTCTTGAGCGACGCATGCACAAGGGATGATGGTTTGTCCGCATTCGGAAATGACACCAGTAAACATCATGACTTTTAGCATGATCATCAGATAGTACGTCCAGTCTTAGCACTTGGCCGGAGTAGTGATGTAATATTTCAAATCCGACTATGAGGACTGGACTAGATTTCAAGTCCGCGCGATTTGATCACGTCCGAGGCAAAGCCGAGGACTGGATCAAAATGCGACAAATCTAGTCCAGTCCGAATTGGAGGATTTGAAATGACATCTCATACAAATAAATCACTACTTAATTAATTTTGATGCAGTCCAAGGCCGCTAGGACTGAATTAATTTTGATCCAGACCTATAGGACTGGATCAATATACTTCATCAGGTATCCAGTATTATCATGTAAGCAAAATAAAGCAATATGGTTGGCTAATTTACTCATGACTTATTAATTGTTTCAGATTGAGATTTCTAGTAATAATACAAATGGCCAATTAATTAAAGTGTTTTTCTCAAATCCGTTTTTCTCTTTTTCCCATACAGTTAGAAGAGTATTTATTTTCAAGTGTTATTGAGTATCATGTTTTTTTTCTTCTTTTTTTTCATTTTGCAGTTTGGTTGTGATTCCTCGAAAATCCTGACGGTCTCTAATCATTTCGTTTTTAAAATTTGAATAAAGTACTGCGCGCAGTCTTAGAAGTCTCTTGGGAGAAGACAAACTAGTTGCTGTAAATTTTGTTGTGAGAAGTGTACTGTACAAATAGATGACCGATGAGTGATGTAGAACAATGCCAACTGGCCTCCCTAGTTCTATTATATACCTGAGATACTGACATTTGAGCAACCTGTGAACACATCTACCTAGATTTTAATATCACAATTGCACCTGACAATAGGACGTGTCAGCAAATATTTCCCAAATTCGCTTAATAAGTACAAATACCAAGTCATTTTATATAGTGTGATTATAATGAATGAGTTTACCTTATTTTTTCTGCCAGTTTCGCGATTTCGCAGAGGGACGTCCCTGCTCCGCTCCCACCAATGCACTTAAAGGTTCAGTACTTAGTGACTAAAGTGTGTCTTTTGTGTGCAATCTGTTTTGAGATTACAGTACAGCAGGTATTGTCAAAGTTACTTTAGCAGTAGAACCTATATTAGTGATAACCTGGGATGCAGTATCTACACTATTTATTATCATAGCACTAAGAGTCAATAGACGTTTTTCGTAATGACGTCAAACGCGGAGAAACAATTATGCGATGTCCCACGGGAATATTTTAGCTACAATTCACAATGCAAGTCGTTGTCGAGCCAATCAAATGTCATAAAACATCAATGTAGTGTCAATTGTCGCTAAACGTTGTCTCTTGAGATATCACATTAAGTGTTTTCCCCTGCCTCGTACCCAGACGCTTTAAATATAATAGGGCTATACCATTAAGACTATTAAGGGATACATGAAGTATTGAGGTTGGGAAGGGGCACTCTTCCAATCAGCCCCTCCGCGCTTCTCTCGCCACTACAACATTTCATACTCAGTCAAACCATATACGCTGTTTTTTTTACAAAGAGACGCCTGGGTACGAGGCAGGTGTTTTCTCCGTTTGACGTCCTTACGAAAAAGGTCCTAATTGTATAGTGTATTTCCAAAATCAAGACTTTTTTAATTTATTTTATATACTTACGCAACTTTGTAAAAGTTTAATTTAGTTATGTCGAACGTAGGTGATGTTAAGGTGATGTTAAGTCAGGTTTATACGATCAATGTTTTTTACAGATGCATTTCATCCTCACAGAAACATGAGGAGAACATTTTCAACATGATTTCTTGTTGGAAATTTTCCCTTTATATTTCTCTGAGGATGGTTCGAATGCGAACCCAAAGTTGCGAGAAATTAAGTTAAACTTTCTCATTAATAATATTATTATAAGGACTATGTTTAAAGTTAATTTGTTCAAACGCCTCGAGAGTTGAATCAAAACATGAGTTTACAAGATTACAAAATATGCGCGTTTAATTTGATTACAAGAGATGACACATGCATGTTCAATCAATAATAGTGCATGGGGTGTTTGTATTTTGACCAACGTCTTGCTCACATCGAACTATTCGTCATTCGTAGTGTATCTTTCAACAGTATTTAAAAATCGTCGGCAAGAATCGTGTACCACGCACCAATTTTTAACTCGATATGTAGTTTCATTTTAAATCTTCGATCGTAAAATACAATTATAAGAAATGCTTGTATGATGTTACTCTGAGTGTATATCCACACCGGGCAGGCTTGAAAAATATGCCTGGCCACGGTGGACCGGATTCGAACCTACGGCCTTTGGAATACTAGCCCAATCCAATGCTCTGCCAACTGAGCTACGCGGTCAGGTCGGTTCGAGCATGCGAAATATCGCATACTCGAGCCGACCTGACCCTGTAGCTCAGTTGGCAGAGCATTGGGCTACTATTCCAAAGGTCGTAGGTTCGAATCTCACCGTGGCCAGGCATATTTTTCAAGCCTGCCCGGTGTGGATATACACTCAGAATAACATCACACAAGCATCTTATTCACCTGAGTACATTACACCAACACAGCAAATATCATAATTATAAGAAAGCTTCGGATTGATAGGGATTCGACTACCTGAAAAATACGAGGAGAACTTCGACGTTACGAGCGAAGGCCCTCCTTGTGTTTCCAGGTAGTTGCATCCCTATCAATTTGAAGGTTTCTTATTATCGGCACTACCTACACAGCTACACTACAGTGGCACAGACTGTTCAAGGTTATATCTGAAATAATATTATAGTCCAGTAATGCCTGCCAGTATATGGCAGTCTGGCAGAAGTAATACTTAATGATAATTGCATGTGGAATGTAGTAGATGTGTAATGTTATGTTAACTTTGTAAATTGTAGTCCGCATATTTTTCAGACAAAAAGTGGATGTCAGTAACTACTCTAATTTAATACACGTTAGCTAATTATCTGCATGAAGATATCGATTTTTAGCACTAATATATGCATCGAAAATCAATAGTCTTATTCTTATCATTGAAATAAATTAACTTAATTGTTTTTTATAGTATAAATGCAATAGTTAATACCATAGACTGGGGGGGGGGAGAACTTGTCCCCCCAGTCCCTGTTTTGGCGCTCCAGTGAACCATGTTGTCCCCCACCCTATTGAAGGTCCCTTCTGTCTACAATATAAGCAAAAGAGGGAAGAATAACTTAGTTAAGAAGAGTATTTTAGTATTCCCATGACCAAAACTTTGTCTCTAAAAATGCCGAAAATCAAGACCCAGACACTTTTAATTAAGTGTATTAAAATACAACATTGTTCTGGGCCTGACAAGTTCCCACTTTTCCCGTTCACCACCTTCTAGTTGGGTACCTTTCTCTTGATGGCCCTCCACTGACAAATTCTTAAAAGAGGCCCTGTGTTTTCACCGTGTTACAAAGTTGAAGACGATAACAGACTTGTTACAAGTTGTTCCAACAAGACTAATACAGGCTTTCGTAACAAGTTGCTACGAGCTTGCTGTCATCTGCAACCTGTTAACAACTTGATACGTGCAGACAATATCAGACTTGTTGGCACAACTTGCTGCGAGTCTGTTGGCCTCTTCAATCTTGTTACAAGATATAACAACTGGCTAGACTTCTAGTCAACAACTGGGACCAAGCCATGCGAACACATCTTGTTGACAAGCTGTGAGATTTTATGTGGGTATAAGGGAGGACACCGCAATTACTAAAAGGTGGGATCAGGACTTTTTCTACTTGCCTGAATAGCAGGGCAAGGAATTTCTATACAAGCCATTAGAGAAGGGTGCCCATAGGCGTACGGGACATGGTGGCAACTCCCCCCCCCCCCACAATTTTGGAAAACCATGGAAATTTGGGCAAATACTTGGAAAAATCAGGAAAATTCGGGCAGATTTATCAGAAAATATGTTAAATTCAGGTTATCTCACTACAATCATCCATAAAAATTTGGGCAATCTTTCAACTGCCCCCCCCCCGGAAAGCATCAGCCCCGTACGCCTATGAGGGTACCTAGTTTTTTATTGGACAGATAAATGCAGGAGAATATATAATATGCCGGGTGGGCGTGTGACACATACGTATACAGTAGCTGTCTGCTAACCTCTTGCATCCATAACAACGTTTCCTATCTTTCTTTATGATCCGCCTAATAGCCGGGGAGTCCAATAACGTGTACGAACAGCCAGCTCCGTCATGTAATGTTTGTTGACTTGATTCTCTGTGAAATAAGACCATGGTCCGGGTTATAAATTGGCTACTCTCCTTGCATACGTCCGCGGCATTCTAATTGCCCATCTTTGCCAGCTAGGTTGTAAGTTCAAAGAAATAATTCAATTTTCCTGAGCTCTCTTAATGTAGAACAAACGCTGGCGGTCAATTTCACTGGTAGTCAACTGTCCTATGAGCCCGACATTGTTCTTCATTGTCAGCTTGAGATGTCTGAGCTAGAAGCATACTCGACACATCCACCGATTCCTTGCCTGAAGACATAATAATCCAATTACCGTAGCCTGAAACTAAGTACCGAACCGAGTCAACTCAGCTACTGGTTGACGTGAAAGATGTAGTCTAGGAGGTTTATCTGTCTTCACGATCACCTTCGCGAACTCACTTCCCCGAGAATTATATGAACTGAATGTTCATATTTCATGTCGTGATCTTCCATGATAGGAACTCCTTTCATATCGTGCTTAATAATCTCTTCATACCCTGGGCTTCCCAAAGTTAATAGTTCGTTCTTGCTAAATATAGTTACTTCCACTGACAAGGAGAATTCACCAGTGAGTCGCACAATTTGAATACTTGATAGCTCAACCTCTCTAGTTGTTCTTCCAAGCTAAGCATCATGTCGATCTCCTTTACCTCTTTCATGGAGCATCGTTTGGGAATCTAATCTAATAGTGCACCGACACATAGGAGCTCCCTGTATCAGTGTCTAATATGGCCCTACACTTGAACCGACCAATGCAACCTGTACGGGGATGCTCCAAGGAACAGTTCTGTCATCTGAACACAAATTGATGTGTGACGTCTCCTTTGCCATTTTTAACATCCCAACTTATTTTTGCAATCACTGGCAATGAATTTTCTTTCGTTCCTCTCGGGTTTTGACTGTCGAAAAGCTCGTCGCTTTATGTGTGCTTTCTTCACAGAAAACACATTCTGGTCGCCGTAATTTCTGTTTGGCATCTTGAGTATGGTAGAACCTTAAGTGACCTTTTCCTTTCCCACAATCACACCATGCTGTTTGTTGCTCTGATTTTTCTTCTTTTGGGTTGATTTCACGCCACGTTTATAGGGTTCTTAGGAGGTCTTCGTAGTATCCCCAGTTTTGCTAGTCCTCACTGATCTCTTCTGCATCCTTGCCATTAATAACTGGTAAGCTCATAATGTTAACCACATATGTATTCACAACATTAGCCGTCTGTCCTTATTCCAATTCTGATTCCATAACCCGCTTCTCTGAATGGACGATCATCGGGACAGTCAATCAAGGAGAAACACGTAGAACCAAGGAAAACCAACGAGAACCAAGTAGAACCAACGGAAATAAAGTATCATCCAAGCAGAACCAAGGAAAACTAAGCAGAAACGAATAGATCCGAATAGAGCCAACGAGAACCAAGATGAAACAAGTAGTAGATTGAACGAACTAGACCCAAGTACAACCAAGGAGAACGAACTAGAACCAACGAGAACCAAGCAGAACGAACGAGACCAAAGTAGATCCAAGCAGAATCAAGTCTAACGAAGTCTAATCAACCTGAGTCAACTAGAACCAAGGAGAAACAACGAGAGCCAAGTAGAAAGACCGACAACAAAGAAGATCTAAGTAGCACGAGACAGAGCCAAGGAGTACCAATTACATCCAAGCAGAATCAAAGAGAACCAAGGCGAACCGAACTGAAGCATGTAGAACCAAGGCGAAACAAGTAAAACCATGCAGAACCAAAAATAAAACAGAACCAAGGAAAACTTAGTAGAACCAAGGGGGACCAATGAGAGCAAAGTAGACTGAAGTAGAACTAAGTAGATCCAAGGAGAACTTAGTAGAACCAAGGGGGACCAATGAGAGCAAAGTAGACTGAAGTAGAACTAAGTAGATCCAAGGAGAACTTAGGAGAGCCAAGTAGAACCATGTAGAACAAAGTGGAAACAAGGAGAACAAAGTGGATCCAAGAAGAACCCAGTTCAGCCAAAGAGAACCAAGTAGAACCAAGGAGGACCAGGGCGAACCAAGGAGAAGCAAATAGAACTACCACGAACCAAGTAGCGCCAATCAGAGCCAACTAAAACCAAGTTGAACCAACTAGATCCATGTAGAACAAAGGAGAGCCAAATATAGCCAACGACAACCAACAAGAATTAAGTAGAATCAGGGAGAGCAAAGCACATCCAAGCAGAACCACGAGAACAGAACCAAGGAAAAGGAGGTAGAGCTAAGGTCAATCGTGGAAAACCAGGTTGAAAGAAGGACAATCAAGAGAAACGAAGGAAAGTCAAGGAGAACCAAGACGAATCAAATAGAACCAAGTAGAGCCAAGTGGAACAAAGACGAACTAAGTAGAACTATGTAAAATCTAGGAGAAACAAGAACCGAGGAGAAACAAGAAGAGCCAAAGAGAACCAACTGGAACCAAGGAAAACCGAGAAGAGCTAACTTTAGCAGAATTAAGTTGAACTAAGTGGGACATGGCAGAACCAAGAGAAGCAAGGAAAGCGAGCAGGATTAATGTGAATCGTAGAGAACCAAGTTGAAACAAGCAGAAGCAAGGAAAGTCGAAGAGAATTACCAAGGAAAATCGAGGGAATTAAGAAGAACGAAGTAGAAGCAAGCTGAAGCAAGGGGAACTAGGGAGGACCCACCAGACCCAAGTAGAGACAAGAAAAACCGGACAGAACCCAGGAAAACCAAGCAGAAATAGGGAGAACCAGGGCAGGGCCGTAGCGAAGGGGGTATTGGGGGGGGGGTTAACCCCCCACCCCAACTTTTTTAGAATTAACATATTCGGAAAATCAGGTTGGTCATTCGGAAAATTACGGCAGTAATAGTATAACAAAATTTTAGTTGTTATTTACCTGAACAGAGAAAATATTATATAATTGTATTGTCTGTATCATAAACTGATTTACAAAATCACGGCATTTACATGGATAACATTTAACAAATCGTAGAGTCGGTAAATGTTTTTTGGTCTATTACTTCCCAGGGCCGTAGCAACGGGTCGGGGGAGGGGGCAGTCCTCAATATATCTTTAAAATACTGACAATTGATTAATTTTAAGCGGCTACATTACCCATGGCAAACCGCAAAGAATCGCATTACCCATATAC